GATCAATTGGCGCAATAAACTTTTTTTTACAGCGATGGTGTTTGGGTCAACTTGCGTATACCTTATCGAGTACCTACTACTTCCCATCAGCACAGGTACTAGATAACTCTCCCACAAAGGCTTAGGTGATAGAAAGAATTCGCCTAGCGTTTTTTACTCTGCTGAGAGTTGAACCTAGTCTCTAAGGTTTGCAGCCACCATGTTGTATATTTTAGTATGTAGATATCTGTGTGTAGTCTTTCAGTTTAGTTACTGAACAGTATCTGGTTCTCATCGAGTCAATTGAAATCAATGAAAGCAAAAAGATTATCAAATTACCTGAATGGCTAAGTATGCTGCCATGCACATACAGTTTCCTATTAAGCATAAAACACCGACGTGCCAATCATCAAACCCCAATTCCAGGAAACTTGACATTAACCATCCAGTAGGCTCTGGCTGACCCTTAGCGCTTATATCACTGTGTATGAATTCTGAGCCTCTGTCTCCAAACACCACAGGTCCACGGAAGATGGCCATTAAGATTGCCCCAGAAACACAAACAATTGTACCTCCAACCTTTGCTTGACCTTCCACAGTAAAAAGCTTCACTGTTTCTGTACTGCATAAGTAACATTTAAGAGTAAAGTTGAGCAGATCATCAACTACAACAGACTACTGAATGTGCAAATACATGAAAAATACACAGAAAGAAGGCAGATTGGTAGTTTGAGGATGGCAACCACTGTGTGGACAAGAAAGCCTAGCAGAGAAAAAGAAAAAAAGAATCTATTGTATAAGTAGCAAGGGTGTCAATCTTGCCCTGCTTTTATTACTCAAATAAAATGATAGACCTGAAAAATGTCATATATAAACAGGCCTATAGCAATAGCACCCAAGGGTGCGCCCTAGTGGTTAATGAAGTGGAAGGAGAAGTATGAGGTCTCAGATTCAAATCCCAGCGGAAACAAAATCACTAGATGATTTCCAACCATCAGCCTAAGCCTTAGTGGATAGAGTTACCCGGTAGTTGTTGGTGGGAGGTAATAGTATCACATGGAATTAGTCGAGGTGCGTGCTAGCTGGCCTAGACACCACGATTATCAAAATAAAATAGGAATAGCAATAAAGAACAGATACCTTGATCAGGACTCTCCTTTTCTAAATGAAAATTCTTTAAGACAAATATTTAGCAGAAGCTCTCTTATATCTTCAAAAAGTACCCCACAAATTATTTGTTGTGATTGACCCCAGTTCTTCTGTGGAAAATGTAGATAGTTATACAATGTGCATAACTTCCTTTCTTTTCAAGAACCAGTTGATAACTAAAGATTTTAGCATCCCTCAACAATAATGTTCATATTTCTCAGTAAAGTCTCCCTATATCTAAGGGTTATATTGATATCCACCATCTTATAAAATTACTGAACTGGTTCACTTATATTACTTTGACTGCAATACAGCTCTATAATAATGGAACTTCATCTAAACACCTAAAACATTATTTCACTCTGAATGCAGATTTGTGGATGACCAAAAATAATTACAAACAATAGAAGTTTTAACTTCACTGCTGCACATTTGGAAGATATGGAGTATCATATTGATGAAAATCCTGATACTAAATCAATTAGGCGCAAGCAATTTCAGGTTTTCTCAAAGAATACAATGGTATGACTGAATTGCTATCTTTTCACCCTATGCAAAGTAAGGAATCACAAGACTCCAGGTCCCCCTTCTCCATGTTCATGTACAAAATAATCCCCCAATTGAGTACAGAAATGTACATGAATATATCTTGAAAGAGAAACAGATATAAATAAAGAATCGAAGACAAAGGGGGTTGATTTCTTACTTACCCCATCAATACAGCAAATATGAATGTGAAGACTGGTATTGCAGGTTGCACGGCTGCGGCATATGTTGGATTTGTGTAGCCAAGACCAATAAGAAACAAAAGTTGGTTCCCAAAAATACTGTTGCAGTTGCCAAGAAAAACGAAAAAACATAAAAAAAAATGGTTTTAGTTCAGTGTAAGAACTATGCAAGTTAACCACAGAAATAGCAGGCACATCAAACTTACCCAGTTAATCCTAGAAAGAAGAATGATAGCAGAAGCCGCCTATTCAAAGGAATCCTCGACCTCCTAGACATAGAAGGAAAGGCAACATTATTAGTGCCCATGTACTTTCAGATACTGAAACTATTTTTTAAAGAGTTTCCAAAAGTAAGACAATAGTTTAGATGCATACATTTACCCCAAAACCTTTCAAGTAGAGGTTTAAGGAAATATGTACGAACATGGAAATGAGGAAACAACTAAGAAAGAGTAAAAGCCAGAGACATGAGCGACAATTTCAAGCTACTAGCCAGAATATCAACAAAGAATTCTTATGTGAAGTTTGAGAATGCATATGTATTTGTATCTGAAGTTTGAGAATGTATGGATAGACGTTCTTTAAGCTTGCTCTTAAATCGGTATTGTAATTCCATTTTACTACATCTAAACGCTTTTCTTTGTATCCAACTCACACAACAAGATAAGCAAGTCAACTATCTTTCTAAGAGGCTGTGATGAGTCCTTACTTTTTATGAGGTTTCATTTTCAAACCTCCAAATGGGAGAGCAGCAGAACAATTTGAGGTGTGATCATAGTGGATTACCAAGTATCAATTAGAAACAGAAATTATATTACCCCATCATAATGGTCAAAAGCACATGAAGGACAGAGGAAAATGACAACATAATAATTTTATGAAAGATTTAAGTATTAACAAACCGAACTTTTGAAAATGTAAATCCGCTTTAACTACAACAGCTCAAGATGCAAATACAGGTTGAAATGAGGTAAACAAGCTCAAGCAGTCGACCAGACTCTCACAAACACATACTATTAGACATTGTAGAGAACAAATTTCAGTAAATCCAGAATTTTTTAACTTCAATTGTAGAAAGGACTCAAACATTAATTAACCATAGCAACATCTAGTTTTCAGAAATGCATCTTCCAGTCCATTCTTTTTACAAATAAATCAGGGCAAATGTCTTTAACAAATATACACTGGCTCAATCAAAAAACTAAATCTATGTCCTCAAAACAATGGCTGAGCAGTTCAGGCACAGGCTTAAACATTTTGGGATCCCAGCTCCTAATCCTAGCTACAACACCTAGTGTAAGTTCATTAGCTCTAATTCACAAGTTTCATGTCGGATCCTCCAAATTACACCAAAAGCAGTGCATTTTCGGAGGAAGAGTTCGAGCAATGTAGCTTGTGCCTATTAGCAAGCTAAGTGATCAGTCATCGCAAGCTGACCCAAACACCACAATACAAAAACTAAATCTATGTGTGTTTTCATAAACAAATACATGGTTAGATTATAGATTCAAAAGCAACATAAAGGGAAAAAAAGAACTAACTTTTCGCGAACATAGGCAACTGGTGCAAGAATAGATAGAGCAAGAAGATCTCTATACAAACAGAACACAATTTGATTCATTCCCACATTGAGTGCCACTTTGGTAATCACATGGTACCCACCATACAAAAGCTGTATCATCGCCATTGTTCCATGAGCTCTCCATACCTCATTCCCATTCCCCACTGATACAGCTGCCATTTTTATCATTTCATCCCAATCCACCCCACCCCCACCACCCCTTTATACCCCTACACGATTGTGATGATGGAATTGGTGAAAAATAGTGACAGTTGGTGTGATGGGGTTTCAAGATTCTTGATTATTAAGCTACAGAATGAACAGAAAGTGTGAATTTTCACAGAAATTTTCAGTCACCACGTTGTTTTCACGAATTGGGGTTTTTGCTATTTGGTTCAAAATCAAGAATTTAGCTGAGATTTCAACAAATTGGAGTGACCCACATCCAAATCTGCATCGATCTTTGAGTAAAGTTTGAGTCTTTAGCCACTTTTTTTTCTATAAATCTAAACACATTGTGTGGATAGTTGATTGGTTGTTACCCGTATCGTATTATTAGTTTGAATACAATATTTATTTTGATTGTTACTTAAATTATATTATGTTGTTTAAATTCATTTCGTCGAAGAAAAAACCGTGTAACAATCCATTTGGTGTGTGATAACGTTGTTACCTTAATATTTTCTTCTCATTTTGTCTTTACTTATTATTTAATTATTTTATTTTATCGTTTACCTTAACTCTATCACGTATCCTATTTTTTTGTAAGTTTATTATTCAAATTATGAATATGTGACATTATGTAACAATAGAATCTATCCAAATATTATATTTAATAAAATAATATAATTTGATAAATATAATACGATACATTATGAAATAACACGTATCAACCATCCAAACAGAGCGTAAGAGGTTAATCATGGAGAGGGGCTAAAATGTAATCTTTGCTAGTCATAGGGGACAATAAAGAATGAAGTTGTTTTCTTTATTGGACTTTAAAAGGAATGTCTAGATTTCAGTAATTAGATTCTACCAAATAGAGACAGAGAAATAAACTTTAATCTAAAAATAAATATTTTAAAAATTAAGAAATAATTTATTACTTACCTTCTATTTGAATAATAATTGTTACCTATTGTTTTGATATTATACAGTGTGTGATTGATGTATAAGCAAAGCTAATTGCCGCATAATTAAAGTAAATTTCTCAACCATATTAAATACTACTCCCTTCATTCACTATATTAAAAGTAGATGTTCATTTTTGCTTGTCCAGTTTGATAAACATCGAATTTATTATATCCAATGAGTGACATGTTTCATCTGTTTCAATTTATGTGACACTTTTTATTTTAGTTTAAGTTTAATCGAAAATTTGCACATGAAATCTTCAATTTTAAAAAATGAATATATATATATATATAAACTACATAAAAAGTACTATAAATCACAATAATTGTTAGTCATTCAAAATAATGAAAGATATATTAAAATGATAGACTTGTTTGAATATCGAAATTTGAAACGCCACATAAATTGGGACGGAAGTAGTAAAATTGTCATTCTATTTACTCATAAAAGAGATGAAACCATTAGTCCTTTCACTTATTCTAGTGCTTTAATTAATCACATACAAATGTCATACACAATCATTTTAGTGAACAAGAAATAAACAAGCTTGTTTACTTGCTTGAAATTGAAAGCAAATGCAACTACTTTACTTCAAATTTCACAGGCACACTGAAATGGAAGTTCTGATAGTCTCTAGTTTAATCCATGTTCTCGAGTAGACGCAGGACTAAGGCGGATAGGATGCATTAGACGAGGCCAGTATCAACTATTGAAGCCAATATTGTTGTTCGTATTGTACTTCTGATTCCCAGTTCGTATCTGAAGAAATTGCAAGTAAACAACTGTTTTCAGCAGGGATCCACGGAGAAAGACGAAGAGATTTTACTTTAAGCTGAGAGACTTCTGTAACCATTACACGAAAGTAGTACCTTATTAACAATGTCTGTAGCAGCAGCATCAGAGAAATCATGTCTTTCTTTCTTCAGGATTTCAAGACGAGAAGTGATGGAACGCTTCTGTTCTTCTGCCTAACAAATCATTTTTAGGATGTCAACCAATCAGTCTAAGAAATTATATGCATGTTCTCTTGAAAAATGATGCATAAGCTCTTCGTTTATGAAAGGACTGCAAGAAATAACAAGAGATTACCGTCTCCAACATAGTCGTCAAGTAGTTGATCTCATTCTGTTTTGCTTCTGATAGGTAGTGCCTGACTTCTTCAACATTGCTCCTGCAAAATTACTGGATATTATACTTAATAGAAACAGGATACTGAAAGTCTTAAAACATGAATTTTTAGCTTTCTTTTTCATGAAATTTCTTTCCAGCTTCGAGGTTATGAAATACCTCATCCTTGAATAGAATGGAATATGCTAAGATTGAAATAATATTCGGCCAAGGTACTTTTCATAGACTAGGCAATGACATTTCTATATACACAGAACCTCAAATCCCAAACAAATTGGACTCAAGCTATATGAATACTCACTAACCATGGCACTCCATTTAAGCTCATTTCAGACAAATGCTATACAAAATAAAAATAGGAAGTGCTAGATACTTCTCTATATTTTCTACAAGCATGTAAGACCCATGGAAGACATAAGGCCTAAAGAGAACATACTAATACTTGACAAAATAGATGCCTTGATAACCATCAACATTCTTTCAGATAATTTGGGACAAAAAACAACAACATTTTTTCAGTTAAACTGATTCACCAGGATGATGGTGGTGGTTACTTGACAAAATAGAAGTTTGATAAAAGAAATTTCCTACACGCGGTGCGACCAAGACAGAAAATAATGGAATTCCAGAAAGCTTTTGCCGAAACAATTGAGTGGTAACGAAAACCATTTTAATCCTGGCTATGCAATTATCTGAATGGGAGTAAGCATACTTCTCTGGAAACAAAGGGTCCAAGTTTTGTTCTTCCACAAGCTGCTCCACCATGTTGAGAGTTGATCCTGCCTACAAGTAGGAAATATGATCCCAAGGAAAACCATATCAGGCACATTATTTCAACTTAACAACTAGAACTCACATAAGCTTTCTAATGTAACTTCACATCAAAGGAAATGATATTAACAAATGCATTTTTCCTAATAAAATAAATCAGTCTCACAACAGCAGAAATGTGAACATAGTGGCATTTCTCTTCTATAACATTGATTTGTGTGTGCTATAATAAGAACATGATAAAACAAACACAGAAAGGAACCAAAGAATTTAAATGGATATTTTTGGTCCATCCTTAACAGTTTTCTTGTGAATCTCTTCTCCAATAAAAACTAGGTTTTCAAGCCAGACCTCTCCAAACAGTTTTCAATGCATGGAACTTTTGTTCCAAGTAATCACAGTAAATGAACTTCTAATCTGGAGGTTAGACTACACTTAATCCATATGAAAACAAAGATTTATATAAAATTCTCAATATTACGAAAGAGCCTTCTAGGAAGCACATTTGATAATCCAGATGTAAAATGGTACATATTTTGAAAGAATTTCTCTTTTCCACAACATAGGATCCTCAGCAATGCTTTACTCTCTTCAGAGTTGGTCCAGAAGCAGAGCAAGTGCAATAACAACTTATATCTTGGTCAAAACATCCACATGCTGAAAATTTTCTAGTGCAGCGTTCAACTGAAGACCAGTTAGCATTTGGCAGTCCTCATAGACCGAAGGTGCAACTTTTGCAAATCTTTCTTGTTCTACTGACCTTAAAAATATGAATGTGAGGAAAATCTAACAGGAGTGCATCTTTTCTTAGAATAACTTTAATAAAGTAAGAAGCATATGATATGTACCTGTGTCTCCACACATAAAGACTCAAATTCATCCTGCAACATAGAAACAGACAACACTTTCAATATTGCCCTTAAAGGTTGAAATGAGAAACTCATTAAAATTCTATAAGTTCACTAGCAAACATGGAATAATACGTCGAAATAGCACCATCACTATAGCAAAAATAAAGTCAATATTCAGGTCAACAAATTAAATTAATTGGGGACACTCCAGATGTATTATCTTTCCACAAATGAGAACTATTATCCAGATGACCTCTTAGCCATGTTGTGAAGAAATGAAGACTTAAATTAGAAGTTTCAAACAAAATACAAGTACATATTCAACTTATGCATCAATATTCCTATTCTTCCTTTTATTGGAAGGAGGGGAGGGAAGAGGTGGGCATGCAACTTGAAGAAATGAAGTAAAGTATAATTCTTCTAATTACTCTTAATGGAGAGGAGATAGCACATGAAACAAAAAGAAAGCAAGAGTAAGCAGGATTTGGCCTTTGTTATTTGTGTAACTTCTAAGTTCTAACTGATGTTGAATCATGATATTCCAGAAGCAAAACACCTAGTAATTCATAAAAATACTATCTAAGCCAGAAGCATCAAGCACGTCCACTGTTTATTCAGGGCTAAAATCCGACCAGCAGTTGGGCTTTTCGTGAAATAGAAGCACCTGATATCGGACAGACATCACATGTGCAACAACAACTACAACAACAACAATAACATACTCAATGTAATCCCACAAGTGGCCTCTAGGGATGGTAGGATGTACGCAGACATTACCCACACCATTGTGAGGTAGAGAGTGTGCACTGAAACTGCCAATTACTACACAAATACTAACTAATGCTACTAAATAAGGAAAACAAAAGGCAAAGATGCTTGAGTTTGAGAGTGTGCACTGAAACTGCCAATTAAACAAGCTCAACAGTAATCACAAACAAACCAAGATGTTCTTTTAAAGAAAAGAACTTTTTTTTTACCAAAACCTTCACTCTCTGAAATAACAATACCATACTTCCATACATTAAATTTCATCTAGAACGAAAAGAACATTAAAATTGTACTAATAGCATACCTCTATATCCTCGTGCAAAGAAGTAATCACCTGGAAAAAAATAAATTAAACTAGTTAAAATGCTACATATCTAGAACTAAGTTTAAAAATAAAACAAATCACAATTTCTCCAAGCTCCAATTTCCAACTAAACCTTCCAAAATCTCAAATTCTAAACCCCTTAGAAAACTAAAAAATCGCAATTTCTCCAAACCCAGTTCCCAAGTCCTTAGAATTCGAGAAATTAAATGCTCCGAATTTCTCGAATTCCGAATCCCTTAGATTTTTTTTCAAAACAAACGAATAGAGTAAGAACAAAAGGCTAACCTGAATGAACAACCGATGAAGGCGTTCAACTTCTGCTGGAGCAAAATTAGGGAAAGCTTTACAAAATGCCTTCAATTAATTCATGAAAAAAAGGAAGATAAACAATTAAAGAACTGTTTTCTAGGGTTTATACAATCTATGAATCTGTATTTCTCAAAAAAACTTTAAAAAATTGTACCTCTTTAGAACATGAAGTTAACAAAGTGTGAATTCCAAGCTCAAATGCAGTCTTCAAATTCGTCTGCCTTGTTCCTGCAATTTCTTCCTTTGTTTTCTCCATTTCTTCAGCAATGGCGGGAGATTGAAAAAATGAGGTTATTTTTTGAGTTTTGATTTATTTATTTTTTGAAAAAGATTACCGCTTTATCTTCCTTTTATATTTGGTCCATTTTCAAATGTAATTACTTGTCCATTTAAAAAAAAAAAAAAACCTAGTTTAACTTAACACAAAATTTAAGAAAATAAAAAGTTTTTTCAATATTATGATAATAAATTAAAGCTATCAAATGTACTAAAATGTTATTTAATCTTGTGGCCTTAAATATGTTACGAGTCACGTGAAAAGTTGAAATTAAAATATTATCAAAAAAGGAGAGTGATATTTTTTTAAAAACTGATTAAAAATGAAAGAAAGTCATTTTTTTTAAACGATGGGAGCAATATCTTTTCTTTCGAAGTTATGTATGAAATAGGAGTGGTTGATAGTTTTTAAAAGTTGTATGGGATTATTTGATATAGTGATAAAAGTAATGTAGAATATAGTGTATAATTTGTGTATTACTAATGTTTGCATAATACTGATAATAATGTTTGGTTATTAAGTTATGAAGAAATGTATTATTATTTTATGCATGATAAAAATATGAATTTATATCCGCATAACTAATATATGTATAAAATAATACATAAATTTACTTATGACTAATCCCTATATTACTAGTATTTGGATAACTCCAACCGACTACGAAACAACCCCTTACTTACAAAATTTAGTTTAGAGATTCAAGTTTATTTACTTTTAAATGTTTCACGGTAAAATTACTCTCCTGTCTCAATTTATGTGACACATTTCAGATTTTGAGATTCAAACAAGTTTATCTTTGACTGAAATTTTTTCATATGTCTCTTAAATATTTTGATTGTCAATTATCGTGACGACTTATAGTACTTTTTACGTAGTTTACAAATATATAAATATCATTTTTTAAAAAAAATTGAAGATTCTCTGAGCAAATTCTCGATCAAACTTAAACTGTTTGACTCTTGAAAATTAAAATGTGTCACATAATTTGAGACGTGGAGTAGTTTATAGTAAAAAGTTTCAACTACTAATGAATGATGCAAAATAGTTTAGCAAAAAAGAGAAAATTGATACAAAGTCAGCCAAAGACAATAGTATACATATCTTTACAAGATTATACATGATTTGAATCTGTGTTGCTCGGACTCTTTAAAAATGTCAATAGGTGGGTGTCGAATCCTCTAACAGTAGTACATTTGACACGAGTACGATATCATTTTCGGAGCGGTGTAGCAATGCACAGAGACTTAAAACAGTTTGGACTATACAAATTACAAAACAGAAAAAATGATCAATGCTCCTCAGTGAGTCTTGAAAGTAAATATAGGCAGCCAGAGCATAGCAACACTGAAGCTGAGAAGCAAAGGAGATCTAATGGTGTGTTTATAACAGCCTTCTTACTCTTTTCGAACAGACCGATGAGAAGAAGCATCACGATAACATGACCAACTTTAGTCTTCATTCCGCTAATAGTTTTTATCTCCAACCATCTTGGTCGTTCCTGACAATTGTATCGATAAGAAGATGTTATGTGCAAGAAACATGACCAATATGTAGTTGTTAGCTCCGGTGGCAAAACCAGGATTTTCACTAAGAGAAGTCAGTATGGAAATAAGGAAACATACGAAGAATCCAAGGGGATTGAAGACAAGGGTGACTCCGCTACTGGTTAGCTCCAAAAGAGATGTTTTTTAAGGTATACAAACTAACCTTTAGAGTGAACATCCCGAACAAATTTGATTGATACGGAGAATTTTCCTCCGACGTTGATTTTGACTTGTCAAGATTGCTGATGAAGAGCTCATAGAGACCCATGCCAAAGACTAACATCACTGTGCCTAAGAGATATATATCTAGAGTAGAAATTGAAATAGTTATATTAGTACTGCATAAAATCCAATTTTTAAATTAGAGTAAGAAAAATGGGTAGTCTGATGCACAAAACATCCCGCGTTAGCAAGGTCTAAGGAAAGGCTTTCAACTTTTAGCAATACAAACAACTGCTGAAAGAACAAGTTTTCTTTAAATATTGGTAGAGTTTTGTGTTTATGGCCCTGTGTAATAGGGAAAGTCTGGTTTTGACTCTTGTGATACACAAAACTCGCGGAAGAACTTGTCGTTTCCATCTGTTAAGAAGTAAATGGGCAGCTCCGTACACAAAGCATCATGTGTTAGCAGGGTCTGTACTGAAAGGGCCGCACCCCAAGAGGTGTGATGTAGACAGCCTAACCTAATGCAAGCATTAGTAGCTACTTCCAGGGCTCAAACACGTGACCTATAGGTCACATAGAAGCAACTTTACCGTTGTTCCAAGGGTCCCCTTCCCCTCTGTTAAGAAGTAATGTTTTACATCCCCCTCTTCTTGTTTACATTACAAAAAGCCTCGAGAAACTTGGATAAATGAAGTGAAAACTCATTGATTACGCGATAAGTTTTAAGAACCAATAGGAGGTACAATGGCTTTCTATGCATCGTAATGAAATCAACACGCACACAACAAGGAAAGGATCATTGCAGGAGTGAAAATGCAAATAGTAAGTGCTATCTACAAGCTTACCTATAGCCTCAACAAGCAACAAAATGACGTTTGCTCGACTTCGAAAATATTCTTGGAATGATGCTGTTACATAAGTGCAACCCTACATATGGAAACAAGTTACACAATCATTCTGCAACAAAGAAAATATGGAAAAGTTTTCACATTGTACAAAATTTGTTTATCGAAACCAATCAATCGATCGATCAATCAATCAACCAACTATTCTTGCATAATGAGAAGAAGTTAAGGGAAAACAGCAGAGTCCCCTGCCAAGACAATTAAGAAACTCATTTGATATATATAAATAATGTATTCAAAACTCAGTAAACAAAAAAAAAATCATGGTCTAGAACTCATTAACTATAAATTCGTAGAATAAGTGATTGTTTGATAATGGGCAAGGAATATCTGTTTTTCTGCTAAACAAGATGGATTGAACTCAGAATTAGTTAGATGTTTTTTATGAATGTCAACTTATAAGTATCGTAAGTAAATTGCTCTAGGTAGTATATAAGGGGAGTATTGAGTCCCAGCCAACAGAAATCCTTCATCATTTCAAATTTGTTTGCCCATAGGCGAACCATTGAGTCTTGGTTCAACTTCTTTTTAACTTCACTTAACGAATTAATGATTGCTAAACAAAAAAAAAAATTATGATCCAAAACTCATAAACTATAAATTCTGGCTCCGCCTCTCAGTCAAAGAAATACTTAAAGAGTACCTTGATAAAACACAGAAATGATCCAATTAACGAACCCCAAACTGCAAGAATAGCAAAAAAACGACAGCTATAAATCACCTGCAAGAAACAAAAAGGCAAATACTCAGATAGATGAGGATGCAGGATTTTTTTGAACCACACTCGTAAAATTATACGGGGTATGTTGCTGTTATAAAGATTCAGAATTTGAACTGGACGGGTACCTTGTCGCACCGAACACAATTACTTTTGAAATTATTGGTTAAGAATTCATTATATTAAAAAATTATTCGATGCGTACGAACAAAGTCCCATATAAAAAAATTAGTAAAGAAAAGGGAGTTACTTATAAGATGTTGGATACTCTCTCATGGTATAAAGCATTTTAGTGAAAAGTGAAAACTATGCGGGCTTGAATAGAGCGGACAGTAACACACTATATTAAGATTATTTTACGCCTATTTTTCCTAACAATTAGTACCAGAGTCGACTATGATTCTCATACATCAAAAACAAGTTATGGACTTTGGTGATACTCAATAGGTGACACATAATTAATCTCCAAATTAGTTCACGAATGGTGATGAGTCACATAAAACTTCGTTTATAAGTGATGATTAAGTGTGCACGAATAAAGTCTCATACAAATTATTATTTTTAATTTGTTTGATCTATTTTGATTTGGCATCGAGTTTTAAAAAATAAAAAATATTTTTGAATATTATGATTTAAAATTAAAGATATATCAAATATGTTAAATTATCATTAATCTTCTTATTTTAAATATGTCACGTGCAAAACTAAAATTACAAAAAAGTTACCAAAAGCAAAAAGGATCATTTTTTAAAACCGACTAAAACAAATACTCCCTTCGTTTCACAAAAAATGACCTCCTTTCCTATTTAGTCAGTTTCAAAATGAATGACCTCTTTCCTTTTTTGGTAACATTTTACTTTTTGCTTTCCACGTGGCATGTTTAAGACCACAAGATTAAGGGCAATTTTGTACATTTGACATAACTTTAATTTAGGACCACAAGATTCAAAAGTCTTCTTTATTTACTTAAACTCCGTGCCAAGTCAAACCAGGTCATTCTTTGTGAAACGAAGGGAGTATATTAAATAAATTATATTATATTTAGGGTATCTTTATTGGTCACCGCACCATTTCTGATTACCCATCAAATTTCAAGTCAATTGAAGTCCGTCAATTGAATTCAAAAACCTATAAACAACTTCTCATTCAATTGGTAAAACAGATTTAATCTCACCTTCTCTATATTTTCCTCTACAATTTGTAATTTTGAATCAACGTCCGATTGAATCGCCGGCGATGAAGCACGAACCGATGAATGAGAGAACCGAGCTGACCCGTTTGACAGATCGACCCGGAATTTGACCCGAATAGGCTGAAATTGAGGAACCCATTTGATTATTGAAGCTGATTTTGAGTTTCTGTAAAAAATTGGAGATATGGAGTTTGTAGATAAGCTACTAGTAGTCAATTTCATGGTGACTGAAATTTTGAAGAGTAATAAATTTGTGAATAAAAGGAATTTTATGAGAGATATTGGCCTCACATTAAGATGACAATATTGACGTAATTGATAAAATTATTGTGGTAATTAGAACGTTATTGTATGTTTGAGTGGTCAAAATAGTCTCGTACAAAAATACAGATACCTAGTCTTTTCTCAAGCTTTACGCATAGCAGATACTTAGTGTATCAAATATTATATTTTATTTTCAAACTTTGAATTTATTTTTCGACCTGAATAAATTTTCAACC